CTTGAGAAGAACAGATACATTGTGGCACATTCATCTATGCAGTAGAATCCTACCAAACCCTTGATACACGTGTGAATGAATTTCCAAAACATTATGCCGAGTCAAAGAAGCCAGACTCCCGGATATATGCTGAATAATTCCATTCATATGAAACTCTAGAGCAAGCAAAACCAATCTGCACAGACAGCAGATTAATGGGTGTCTGGAGTTAAAGGTGGAGACCGACTGGTGACAGGAGGGGTGATGGAAACATGGCGACGTGGATGTATTTATCAGCACTCACTGAAATGTGCACCTAATATGGTGCCCTTTACTGTACATAAATTAGGCCTTAATAAAAGTTTATTTTTTTAAACGTAGATTATAAACCAGGTATGGAGGCCCATGCCTGTAATCCCAGCACTTAGGAGCTTGAGACTGTTACGGTCATGAGTTCAAGCCCAGCCAAGAGGAAGGAAAAAAAAAAAGAGAGAGAGTAAGTTACAAATATTTGCCAAATTAGTCAGCATCAATGAATTTTCTAAAAATAATGTGAGTGTGTGTGTGTGTGTGTGTGTGTGTGTGTGCGTGTGTTCAGACTCCACTAGAGACCAATTATGAAATTCTCTAGGCGGGGGCCTGGCCTTCAGTATTTCTTCAAAATTCTCCAGGTGATAATTATTCACAGCAAAGGATGTGAACCACAGACCTCAAGGGACAGGGATAAGATTAGAGGACACCTGTGCACTGCTCTGTCCCTTCGTGGGAGAGGAGACATGGTACATTATCTGAAAGAAAGGGGCCCAGGTGGGAACAATTTAGCCAACTCCCTGTCCTGGGAGGTCAGTCTTAAACTTCAGATTTCACCTCCTGTTTTCCTCCTCACCTCTTCCCTTGCCAACTGGGGCTCCAGATGGGGTCCTCTGGCCTAGAAGGAGTGGGCGGCTTAGGGTTTGGGAGCTGGGGCTGAGTACCTAGGATTCTCTGTCCTCCAAGGCCCATGCTGCAGGAAGGTGCCAATCACAAGCCCCTGTAATAACTCCAAGAATTTGGCCAGAGAGGGCCACAGGTCTCTGGGGAGAGAATGCCAGGGCATCCAACAGGCACTGTAGCCAGAACACAGAAGCCCCTGCAGATGGGCCATCCTCAGACTCAATCATGGACAGCTCCAGCCTGAAGCAGCCTAGAGACTCAGCAGGACACATTTCTGGGGGCCAAGTGATCATCTCCAAGGTTTCTGATTTGTGACAAGCCCCTTCACATCTCTGCACTTCAGTTTCTTCGTCTCCAAAATGGGGCTCCAAATACCTCTACACTAATGGATGACGTTGGCCCATATTGTACAATGTACAAGTTAGAAAAATACACTCCTTCCACCCGACCTGTTGTCCCAGCCACCTGGGAGACTGAGAGGCAAGAAATCCTTTTGAGTCCAGGAGTCCAAGGTTAGCCTGGGCAACACAGCAAGACCTGCTCTTAGGTTTGGTTTTTTTTTGTACCGGGGATCGAACTCTGGTCCTTGCACTTGTGAGGCAGGGGGCGGAATCACTGAGCTAAATCCTCGGCCCCAAGACCTGATCTTAGAAAAATGAAAATATAAAAGTAAAAAGTCATTCCTTCCTTAAAATACTGCCTTGATCTTATTAGAACAAGATACTTTACTGCCATCTGCTGGAAACTGACAAGTGTGCAATTCATAATGTTCAGGATGAGCCCGGTGTGGTAACGCAGTTTCTAATCCCACCACTCAGAAGGCTAAAGCAGGAGGATCAAACTGAGAGTTGGAGGCCAGTATGGGCTACATAGTGAGTTCAAGGCCAGCTTGAACTGCATAGTGAGACCCTGTCTCAAAAGTAAATGAATGACCAAGAGAGATTATGTAAAGGTGCAAATTTCCAATGGTGAATTATATTGTATACCTAAAATGTACTAATAAAATAAATAAATAAATAAATAAATAAATAAAAGAATAGAGCAAAGATCTTAAAAGAAAATATAAAAACGTAGGGCCAGGGATTTAGCTCAGTGGTTTCTCCACCTGCTGTGCAAGAGCAAGGACCTGAGTTTGATCCCCGTACCAAAAAGAAAAGAAAATATAAAAAAGTAAATGAATGAGTAAGCAAGTAAATAAATACACATGCAATGTCCAGGATGTAAATACTATCCCTGTAGATGTGGGATCCTAGTGCAGAAAACCTTCATACCCACACGGGTGGCCCTTCTCTACCTTATAGGGTTTGTGTGAAAAGTAGATAAGCTAGTGAGTTTAAAGTATTTAGTCTAGTACGTGGCACAGAGTAAGCATTATTTAAGTGTAGATGTAACTGTCCCATCACTTAGTACTATATCATCATCATTTATCATTATAGGACAGCCGTTGTTCTAGGTACTGGAATCAGCAATGATCAGAACACATCTGTTAAAGCTGGAGAGTGGGTATGACACTCAGAACACCATTCCCGTTGCTCCTTCCAGAGAGCTCGGGGATGCACTTATGCAGTGTCCGGAAGATTCTTTCTAAATTTCCAACTTCAGGAAGGAGCTACTGAAATACTCACCATCTGGAGTATAGAAAGTGCTGTTATCCTTTCTGTTTTCCTGTAATTTGGGGGTAAGGAGAATTAGACTTGGTGGAGGGAGCTTGGCCTTTCCTCAAACACCTCCCTATCCAAACCCTGCAGCTAAGCTTTATCTGCTGGCTCTGCCCCTCTTCCCAGTATCTTCATGGTGGCAGGGAGGAAGTAAAGAGTCTTTTTGGTAGAGGTAGAAGGGGTCCCTGGGCCCTCCTAACCTCCTCCACCTCCAACAGGAGAACATGATTTAGGAAGAGAAGTACAAAGAGAGGGAAGGGGTTAGAGAATTGGAGTAGGTGGGGGGAATTGTCCCCTGCCTGTCACAGGTACTCGGGGGATGTGCCCCAAGAGGCAGGGGAAGATAGGCAACCAGAGGAGGTAAGGCCCCCAAGCTACCAGAAGATGCAAGAATTAGCAAGGGCATGAGGATCAGCCCCCAGGGCTGGAGATCACTGAACTCCCTGACCCCCATCAGGTCCCTGAGGAGGACAGTGTGTGCATCTGCGGCTGGGGCCTGTGCTCTCCTGGGACCACACCTGTGCTGTGGCTCATCTGTGTCTGCAGGTGCTTGGCGGAGGGGGCTCTGCTGTAGTTACATTTCTATTTCAGTCTCAAGTCTTTTGGGGTCTTCGTGCCTGCCTGCATTTGTCTTTCCTTTCTGAGGGTTGGCCTCTCTGCCTCTGAATCTCTGCCACTGGCCCTCTGGCTTCTGAATCCATCTCTGATTGACCTTGTGTCTCTTTTCTCTTGTCCCTTGGTCCCTTTATCTTTCTCCCTATGTGCCAGCCTCCGTCTTGTCTTCTGACATCTCTGTGTGTTCTTCCTGGAATGCCTTTGGTGCTCCCATCCTCCTTCCCCCAGCCCTGCTCCCTCTCTCTCTCTCTCTCTCCCTCCCTATAGTAGGGGGACTCTGGGCTGGAGGATCATTCCTGTGGCCTCCACCCTGCCCTCTGATCTTTATTTGTTTTGCTTGGTTTTTGGATTTTTTAAGACAGGGTCTATGTAGCCCAGGCTGGCCTCCAACTCATGGAAATTCCTGCTTCTAATCTTCACCTGGTCTCCACTCTCTCTGATAAGAGGGAATCCTCAGACCCTGTGCTGCCAGAGAAACTGAGGCAGATTCTACCCCTGGTAGTGGGGAGCTTGTTGGTTGGGGAGAATACTGGGGGTTTGGAATGGGGGAACAACCTAAACCTGGGGTTCCTCAGACAGTTCTGAAGGAACTGGGATGGAGAATTACGTGGGGGAAAGGAGCCTAGAGGGGAAAGTGACTTGGGGGTGGGTAAAGAGATGATTTAGGGTGTTTTTTGTTTGTTTTGTTTTTTGTAACAAAGCCTTTGTATGTAGTTCAGGCTGGTCTTGAACTCACTACGTAGCCCAAGTTGGCCTCAAACTTGCAGCTATCCTCCTGACCCAGTCTTCCAAGTGTTGAGGTTATAGGTGTGCACCACACCTGGCCAGATCAAGTGTTGAGGTTATAGGTGTGTACCACCACACCTGGTTCCGGAGAAAGAGATTCTAGGGTAGGGACCCTGAAGAGGAAGGCTCCTGGGGGTGGGGATGATTCCCAGGGAGAGGGTTGCTGGGGAGAGAAGTCTCCTAAGGAATAGAAATTCTGGGGAAAGGCAGATTTGGGGATGGGGCTCTGAGAGAGGAGATGTTGTGAAAGGCTATTCTGGGGGAGGCGTTCTGGAAAAGATGGATGTGAGAGGAAAGGGAGGTTTTGGAGAGGGATTTCAGGGAAGTGTGTCTCAAGAGGAAGATTCTGAAGAGGAGGACTAGGTTTGGGAAAAGAGCCCTGAGTGCAGGGAGATTCAGGGGAAAAAAGGACTCTAGATTGAGGGCTCTGAAGAGAGACTGGGGGGCGGGGGTCTCTGGGTGAAGGATTCTGGGAGACCAGGGTCCTGGAGAGAGGAAAATGGAAAGAAAGAAATTCAGGTGGAAGGTAGATTTTAGGGGAGGGAACTCTGAGGAGGAAAAGGAACTAGAAGTGGATCCTAAAGAAAGTGGGTTCTGAGGGCTGGGATTCTGGGAATCGGGCTTGATTTCTCTCGGCGGCCTTCGCGGACTTCCCCCTCGGAGGACTCTGATGGGGATTCTAGAAGGGAGTCCAGAGGGATGGAACACTGTCTGGGTAGGAGGCTGTGAATCGACTTAGAGAGGGGCGGAGGGAGAGTATAAAAGAGCCGAAATGCCAATGAGAGCTGGCGGAATGCCAAAACGACCAAGGCTATCAAAGCCGGCTCGTCTCGCCGCTCGCTTAGTCTGCGACCCAACCCCACCCCACCATCCCTCCCCTCCC